CTGGCCAGTTTTTTCAGACGTAGACCGTCAGCTATTTCTTCTTAGCCTGTCTTAGTCTGGAAGCTCCTATGAAACGTGTTCACCATGGGTGACCCTGCTGGTGTTTGAAATACCAGTGGCATAGCTTCCAGCATCACAGCAACATGCAAGCCACGACAGTCTGACAAACTGACAGACCGCGGTGGGTTAATTTCTTAGTTTTGATAATTGCATTACAGTTTTGTAGATGTTAACGTTGATAAAAACTGTGTGAGGGTGTATGGAAACTCTTTGCTATGTTTGCAATTTTTACATAAGTTTAAAGAGTTCAAAGTAGAAAGTTAAAAATAACCAAAAACTCATTTTTTCTTGTTTATGTATCTGCCAGTCAGCTGGACTTGGTCCTCCTCTGTCATTTGGGCCCAGGTTTGCTAGTGATGGCATATTCTTTCATAGTGATGGTAGAAGCTCAAGTGACAAGCCAACTGTGCAAACACATTTTAAACTTCTGCTTGTGGCATATTTACTAGCATGTCATTGGTCAAAGCATGTCACAAGCCATCCCAAAGTCAAGAGGCGGGAAGGTACACACCACTTCTAGTAGGAGGAACTGCCAAGTTACATGGCAGAGCATGTAGATATAGGAACTGGAGAAGAAAATTGAGAACAAAGATGAGACCAACCACAGATTTTTTTCCCCTGGGAGGAGCATAAGGTTGTTATTTGGGTCTTGGGCTGTTATTGAAGTTAGTGACAGAGAGTTTCAGTGGGGGTCAAAACTCAAGCATGGTGTCGCTTTACTTCATATGGATAAGTTGTCCTCTGACTGGGGCACTCATCACTGGGATCTACCCCTAAGGAGCCAGTGATGGGGCAACAGACATTGTAGGCTTTGTAGGCCTGTTTACCTTTCAGGATCCCTATCTCATTTTTGGCCTCCCCTTGCCTTCCACCCCGCAATCCTTAACTCTTTACCTTTAGCTGCATGTGTCTTGTGTCTTCTCTTTGCTATTGCTCTTCCCCAGTGTTCTGGCCCTTGAGGCCCTAGAAGGATGTAGGTCAGATCACATACACTCTTTCTAATTTGGCCCTTTTCCCAGTGGGGTGGAAACATTTGAAATACTGTATTTTCTGCTGCTTCTGCCACTGCTGCTGCCATGGCTGGTTTTGTATATTTTAAATGAGCGCAACCTGTATTTTAAGTTAATGCTATTGTGGCTGCTCTTCCCCCCTGTGGCGGCTCATGTGAAGGGAGTAATTTTGGAATTTTCCAGTAGTAAAATTAATTGATTCACATAAGATCCTGGTCTCTTCCTTGGCCAGCTTAGCACAGTATAACCTGTTATGTTCTGAAGCTTTTATAATCTCATGTACTTTTTTCTTTTCCATTTCTCTTTGATTGAAAGTCTGAAAAATCATGATGCTGTTATTATTACTAGTATTAATACTACTACTACTAAAGACAACTATTCCTATGACTGTTAATTATTATTAATCTACCTGCCCTACTGAAAATCCTTGTTGACCTTTTCAGAGCTGTTAAAAGCACACACACCTAGATCAACTAGGATTTTCTCTCTTTTATTTTCAGTTTTTCACTCAACAAATAATTATTGAGGCTTTACTATGTGCTAGACCATATGAGAGGCCCAGGGATAAAATGGTGAACGTTTATGGTAATTAGATAAGTACGAAAACAAAATGTAACTAGTGAGTAGCCAGTGCTATGAAGAAATGTTTCATGATGCTGGGAAAGCCTTTGGAGGGGGCAAGCTCATCTGGTCTGGGGAAATAGAGGATACCTCTCAGAGGACTCTTCGCTGGAATTGGGAGGATGAGGAGTTGGAGGCTGGGGTTGGAAAGAGCGTTTTGGGCAAAGAGAACAGCAGGTGAAACAGCCTCATTGTACAAGGGAGCATGGTTCTTTCAGAGAGTGGAAAAAGGCCAGTGTGGCCTAGCTTGTGGAGGGTGAGGGGTGGACTAGGCTTAAGAGGTTTGCAGGGGCTGGATACTGCAGGGCCTCATCAACCAGGGTGAGGATTTTTATCTTTATCCTAAAAGCAGTAGAAAATCATTAAAAACTTTGAACCATTAGAATGACATGGTCAGGTTTGTATTTTGGAAATAAAAAACCATTTATTGGAAAGAACAGTTGGATTGGAGTTAAGAGTCACTAGGGGAGGCCAGTTGGGAGGATATTACAGTGTCCAGAAGAGAGATTGTGATGGCCTGGACAGGAGCAGTGATGGGGAAGATGGAGAGAAGGGTATATGCATTTAACAGAAATAGCAAGAAGAATCGACAGGTTTTGGAGATTGATTGGGAATGGGTGGTGGTTGTGTTCCATCAATTTTGGGTCTCTTGAGGTGAGGCCACCTCTCCCCCTCACACATTCAAAGATAAGATTAGTGCTAAAGAGGCTACCTTTTACCCCATGATTATAGGAGTAGGATAGAAATTGCTAGTTCTTTGTTGTTCTCGCCAGTATTTGGCCTCACCTCTTCCCAGAACCAACTTCCTCAGCTGTTAGCTTTATTTTGCTACTTCAGCTTGGGCTTCATGATGGCACGCAACCCTAGCAGTCTCCCCATGGTCCTTCCAGTTCTGCCAGCCTCTTCTGCTCCTTGTCTCCTGAATGTGGCCTGTCAGTTTCTGTGTCTGAGCCTTTGCACGTGGGGCTCCCTCTGTTTGGGATTCCCTCTTTCTCAGTCTGGGTCTCATTTTTTACTTTAACCCCCAAGTCGCCTTATTCAGGAAGTTTTCCAGAGAAGGATTTCCCCACTCCATCCTGGACATAATTTTAATCCTTGCAGCATTTTGGATGGGTTTTGAATTAGAAGGAAGATCCCATATGCACATATAGTTACACACTGGAAGTTCCCATTTTATTTTGCCAAAGATACAGAGACTCCCAACTGAAGTGGGGCAGCAGGAAAAAAAAACAGCATGTCTTAGATGGTGTTTCCCCGGATCCTTGATTCTCTAATGGGGGTACAGTGGCTAGTGAAACTCTGAGTTCACTAGGATCTAGAATTAAGAAAACTATGAATTCTTGCTACATCATTTCCCTTTTATACTTAGAGTTTACCTGATGGTTTGTGAGAACCTATGCTATATGGTTCCATGAAGAAATTTTTTTAGATTGCCATCCTTTTTTGGTTCTTGAATCAAACTTAGCACCAGCAAGGCAATGCCTTCCTCAGGCAAGAGAAAGCAGTCAATGTCCAGGGGTCAGAGCAGTATCTTTGCTTCTAGATTTCCTGTCTCCAGTCAGTGAAAAGCCTTTTCCCTAAAATTCTATACCCTTGCGGCCATTAACTTTCATCTTTATATTCCTAGCACCTACCACAGTGTCTGGTATATACAAGTTGCTTGATAAACATCAGCCGCATGAATAAATGAATAAATAAGTGTAGCCATTCCTTTTGTAGTGTGTGATCTTACGCAGTTTTTTAACTATCCTTGGGTTAATTGTGTGCACGTGTATGAGTATCCCATTCATTGACAACACTTGTTTTCCCTGCTAGTGGATCAGCTCCTCTGAGACAGGTAGGTGTTGGTTTTTAATTTCTCTTGGTTCCAATCCGCACCTCCTTGGCTTGTGTCTTAGTCATCTAGTGCTGCCATAACAGAAATACCACAAGTGGATGGTTTTAACGAAGAGAAGTTTATTTCCTCACAGTCAAAGTAGGCTAAAAGTCCAAATTCAGGACGTCAGCTACAGGGGAAGCCTTTCTCTCTCTGTCGGCTCTGGAGAAAGGTCCTTGTCATCAATCTTCCCCTGGTTGAGGAGCTTCTCAGCGCAGTGTCCCTGGGTCCAAAGGACACGCTCTGATCCGGGCACTGCTTTCTTGATGGTATGAGGTCCCCCTGTCTCTCTGCTCACTTTTGTCTTTTATATCTCAAGAGATTGCCTCAGGACACAATCCAGTCTTGTAGATCCAGTCCTGCCTTACTAACTCAACTGCCACCCATCCTCCCTCATTAACATCATAGAGGCAGGTTTACAACATACAGGAAAATCACACAGTACCCATCCTCCCTCATTAACATCATAGAGGCAGGTTTACAACATACAGGAAAATCACACAGTACCAGGAATCATGGCCTAGCCAAATTGGTACACACATTTTTTGGGGGACATAATTCAAACCATAACAGCTTGCTACATCTTCCTGCCTTCCAGTCTCTATCTTTTTCCTTCTTATAAAAGTTAAGTGCCATGAATTTTATGTGCCAAGTTCTGGGCAGAGGAAATAAAAAAGGAAGAGACATAGTCTCTGTGCTCAAGGAGGAGACAGAGAGCCCAGTTAAACAGATGAGGGTGGTGAAGTGCAAGCATGCTGGGATGGCAGGCTGTCTGGTGTTCTGTGGGACCCAGGGGAGGACAGGAAGGTGTCATAGAGGAGGCAGTAATATAGCCATGTCCTGAAGGATGAGTAGGTATTCACCAGGGTGCCGTTGGTACATAACAAAAAGGCTTATTAGCTTAATTTAAAAGAAAACATGTTATTGTTGTTAGTTGCCCTTGAGTTAATTCCAACTTATGGTGATCCCATGAGTTACAGAATAGAAGTGCTCTATAGGGTTTTCTTGGTTGTAATCTTAACAAAAGCAGATTGCCAGGCCTTTTCTTCCATGGTACCGCTGGGTGAGTTCAAACTGCCAGCCGTTAGGTTAGCAGTTGAGTGCAAACTGTGCCACCTAGGGACCTTAAGATAGCTTAAATATGCAGCTTCTGACTAGGGGATGTTGGTCTCTGGATTCAAGTGTGGATCCCCTTGCTCACCTTGTCTCATTCCCTTATTAGATAATGGACTAGCAAAGGGAGTATATGTGAATGGTGTGTGTGTGTTACAGAGAGAAAAAGAGAGATGGATGGATGGAGAAGGGAAGTGAACACAGCAGGGTCTGGTCTTCATGAACTAATAAGTCCTGTTGGCTTTTTAGCCAGCCATTTCATCCCAGTGCCCCTCCAAGGACCCTGTACCTCATGAGCCTTCTCTCTTCTTGTCTTTTAGGTCAGGCTGTCCCTGCAGGATCTCACGTGCGACTGAATCTCCAGACTGGGGCGAGAGAAGTGAAACTCCAATATGGGGACAAAATCCAAAATAATTTGAAAGAGTCGAAAAAAGGCAAAAGGTACAGTGTCAGCCCTAGGGACCGGGAGGGTAAGTGATGACATTGATTTTGTAATACTGAAAGTAATGATGATGTAATATGTCTTCCCCAAATTCATGCAACATTTTTTTTTTTTATTTGAAATTTAATAGCCTAGAATTTGTGATAAATCTGTCAGGGTTTTATGGAAGTTTACTTCTACAGTCTTTGGAAAGAAACAGTTTGCAAAGCAAATTGATACTTTGAAAAAGGCTGTAGGGGGAATGCTTAACCTGCTTTAAAAATGAAGCTATTTTTCCCAGTACTTCAAGAGCACGCATTTGAATCCCAGCAATTAATGTGCTGATTACAGATCAGTCATCTATTCATTAAAACAGGCCTGTTAGGCCTTCTGCTTTGCAGTAGTACTTCCTTGGTGAACAATAAAATTGCATTTTAAAGTCTTTAATTCAGACTAACTTTTCCTCTTGTTAGTCCATATTAAAACAGGCTTTCTGATAATATAAAAGTAGAAGCAATTGCAGTTCTCCAGTGGTTAGAGGTTCCCTTATTTTTTAATAACCAGTTTAGATTATTTGATTTTGGAGAATTCATCGTCTCTGTTTTTCTGTTCTTTCCCTTGAATTAGCAAGTTTTTTTTTTTAGATTTTTTTTTTTTTTAATTGTACTTCAAGTGAAGGTTTACGGAACAAATAGTTTCTCATGAAACAGTAGTACGCATATTGTTTTATGACATTGGTTAACAACCCCATGACATGTCAACCCTCTCCCTTCTCGACATTTTTTTTTTTTTGGTGAAAATATATGTAGCCAAAGATACACCATTTCAAAAATTTCTACATGCACAGTTCAGTGACGTTGACTACGCTCTTCCAG